GGGAAGCTGTGAAGCCAGCTGTATAGCCTATTGCCTATTTATGTTTATGTGTCTTTTAATAAAGAATGTGAAACAATGTTGTGTCTGTTAGCGGCTTTTTATTAAATCATGCATAGCTGTTCATTATATGGGCTAAAATAAATGTGTTCATATTGGCAGAATATTATCTATAGGCTATAGCATACAGAATCTTTATCTGTTCTGAAAATAGAACATTTCATGTGAAAAAAAAGTATCTGGTAAAAGGCCGGGATATGGACTTAAAAAAAAATAATTAAAGACTCTTTGTCACATGACTATAGAAATGGAAACATTGTGATTTTAGAGTAACAATAGTAACAAAGTAACAATAGCCTATGATATACCCCGTAAAAAATATATATATATATACACTACCGGTCAAAAGTTTTAGAACACCTACTCATTCAGGGGTTTTTCTTTATTTTTTACTATTTTCTACATTGTTGAATAAAAGTGAAGACATCAAAACTATGAAATAACACATATGGAATTATGTAGTAAACAACAAAGTGTTAAACAAATCAAAATATATTTTATATTTTATATTCTTCAAATAGCCACCCTTGATGACAGCTTTGCACACTCTTTGCATTCTCTCAACCAGCTTCACCTGGAATGATTTTCCAATAGTCCCACATACGCTGAGCACTTGTTGGCTGCTTTTCCTTCACTCTGTGGTCCGACTCATCCCAAACCATCTCAATTTGGTTGAGGTCGGGGGATTGTGGAGGCCAGGTGAACTGATGCAGCACTCCATCACTCTCCTTCTTGGTAAAATAGCCCTTACACAGCCTGGAGGTGTATTGGGTCATTGTCCTGTTGAAAAACAAATGATAGTCCCACTAAACCCAAAACAGATGGGATGGCGTATCACTGCAGAATGCTGTGGTAGCCATGCTGGTTAAGTGTGCCTTGAATTCTAAATAAATAACTGACAGTGTCACCAGCAAAGCAACCCCACACCATAACACCTCCTCCTCCTTGCTTTACGGTGGGAACCACACATGTGGAGATCATCCGTTCACCCACACCGCATCTCACAAAGACACGTCGGTTGGAACCAAAAATCTCAAATTTGGACTCCAGACCAAAGGACAAATTTCCACCGGTCTAATGTCCACTGCTCGTGTTTCTTGGCCCAAGCAAGTCTCTTCTTATTATTGGTGTCCTTTAGTAGTGGTTTCTTTGCAGCAATTCGACCATGAAGGCCTGATTCACAGTCTCATCTGAACAGTTGATGTTGAGATGTGTCTGTTACCAGTGGCGGCTCCTGAAAAAATTCTCAGGAGGGGCAATTTTTCTGATGATTTAGGTGACCTACACACATTTTTAAAAAGATATGTCCAGCAACAACATGAAGACAGGGGCAGCATATAAGTCAATACCAGAAGCATTTATTGACTGATCTCAAAAGTGTTGGCTTACAAAAGCAAAATAAGTTATCACAGTAAAAATAATCAAGGGTGTTCTTTCACATTCCTCAACACTGCATAAACAATATGTATGGCTTTGTAAAAATGAACAACCATATTCTGGCCAATTGTATAGATTTGTAAATATGAACAACCATATTCTGGCCAATTGTATAGATTTGTAAAAATGAACATGAACAGATTTTTTATTTTTTTGAATGGCAGTACCTTTCAAACATGTCTGCTTGCAGTAAGGTAGCACTCACAAGGTGGCCAGAGAAAGAGAACCTTTCTTTGGTGTGATCCAGGATGGTGTTGCAGACCTCTTCAGACAGCCTCTGCTTCTCCTCTTCTCTCAAAGCTGTTCTGGGTCTTTTGGCTCCTGTTGCTTCTTGCAGCTGCTGTTGAGAGGAGTCCCTGAAGGCAAACAGACCAATGTGTTTGTTGGCTTTGTACAGTATTGTTGTCTATGTGATGCACAGGTATATGCAATGTATCCATGTATAGTACAAATACTTCAGTTCCACTTAAAATGGGCAGGGATGCATAAAGTCTTTAGTGTTTAAGTTAGCCTTTGTGTCTCACATAGCCTGGATGTTCAGCACAGTATACAGTGGTGCTCATAAGCTTATGATCCCATGCTAAAGTTGACTAAAAAGAGGAATAAAAAAGAAAAGAAAATTGGTGTCCTTAAAGGTTGGATTTTCCAACTTTTTTAATTAAGTCATTAAGATCAATTTCCAAAAGATGATTTTTTTATTTTTTTATTCCTCTTTTTAGTCAGCTTTAGAATGTGTTCATACACTTATGAGCACCACTGTACAGTACACATAGTATATAAAATAAGATAGATTACACCACTGGCCATATATAATGACAATAATGTAATTTCAAACACAAATGCAGTCTCCTTTCATGCATACATTTTCAAATAAAGCTCTGCTTTGAGAAAGATCGAATGATATTGTTTAATCTTTATCTTACCTTATGGCCTGCACACTGCTTGCGAAGCTGTCGAGGGCACGTTTGATAAAGACAGCATCGATGTCCTTATTCTGTAGCTTCTGGTACGGTGGGCTGGTCAAATGAACCCAATGAACCCGTCCGGATGGCTTCAAAACATTCTATGAGGTCGTCTCGATTCTCGTAGACAGTGTTCACGACTCTGCTGTTGCTAACCTCATCGTTGTGGCGGCGGACAGCTAGCCTGTATCCCTCATCCAGTTGAGTGGCAATATTCACTCTCACCAAAGCAGACAATCTCAAACAGCTATCAATGTGGGTCTTTGACAGCTCATTTTTCTTAATCTTTTCTGAAAGATGGTGCATGTCGGTTACACCAGTCGCTGTCCAAGCGTTGCTGTCTGCCGTTCATGGTTACGTTACGTTACGTATGACGAAAGCGCGTAAGTGCAAGCCCTCAGACACCCATAGAGAATGTATTGAAAGCTCAGAAATTTGAAAAAAAAATATTTTACATTAGAGGCTATGAGAGACTTCTGGGCGATTTTCAACCTGACTGAAATCGCCCCAAAACGGGCGGGGACATTTGAAGCACGACTTTAGCCTGATTGGACATTTAGTGGCTGGCAGATCAGACGTGAACACTGAACTACTGTTGCCATGATATAATTGATTAGAAAAAAAATCCCTTCCTTTTCCCGTTTGGCAGTGCGTCGCCCATATCGCCCTATTGAACACACCGCCCATGTCTGTTACTTGAGCTCTGTGAAGCATTTATTTGGGCTGCAATTTCTGTGGCTGTTAACTCTAATTAACATTTATTTGGTCTTCCATTCCTGTGGCGGTCCTCATGAGAGCCAGTCTCATCATAGCACTTGATGGTTTTTGCGACTGCACTTGAAGAAACTTTCATTATTGACTGACCTTCATGTAGTTTCTCTTTGCTTATTTGAGCTGTTCTTGCCATAATATGGACTTGGTCTTTTACCAAATAGGGATATCTTCTGTATACTACCCCTACCTTGTCACAACACAACTGATTGGCTCAAACGCAGGAAAGGAAAGAAATTCCACAAATTAACTTTTAAGAATGCACACCTGTTAATTGAAATGTATTCCAGGTGACTACCTCATGAAGCTGGTTGAGAGAATGCCAATAGTGTACAAAGCTGTCATCAAGGCGAAGGGTGGCTATTTGAAGAATCTCAAATATAAAATATATTTTTATTTGTTTAACACTTTTTTGGTTACTACATGATACCATATGTGTTATTTCATAGTTTTGATGTCTTCACTATTATTCTACAATGTAGAAAATAGTAAAAATAAAGAATAACCCTTGAATGAGTAGGTGTTCTAAAACTTTTGACCGGTAGTATGTGTATATATATAAAAATAAAAAATACATAGACAAAAATAAAACTTTCGGCTGGCAAGGACACTCAGGTGAAGCCATTGAATAAAATGAATTACAAGCAAATAAAGCTTTTTAGCTTTTGAACCTGTTTTAAAAATGATATAGGCCTACATTTTTAGTCTGTATAGTTTGGACTATCCTTTTTGTAATGTATGAGACATCAAAACATTCCAGAAAAACATGGTGTGCTATCACAACAGCTGTTCACTTTACTGTCATTTGGAGAAAAAAAATTCTGAACCAGCTGATGATTGGTGAAACAGGGTTCAAGTTCAATGTCTAATTTCACAGATAAATGGTTATTATATTGATAGGCAAACAACACTCAACACTGCCATTAATACAAGGAACAAAAAGTGTTTTATGTCACCCAATTTTGGACAAGTAAAATGTTATTACAATGTATTAAAATCTTACATTCCCATGACGCTCAAAAATTGTTGTAGTTTTAGGGGTTCATACTTAAATGTCAAATAATAATAGCCACACAAACTAAAGAAGACTATTTTAGTATTTTATTAACTTAAGATTCTTGCCAAGACAGGCAGACAGTCTAGACAGACAAATAGTACAGTAGGCTATACATTGCACAAGGAGAGTATGGGCTATTTTAAGAAATTTAAGAGAATGAATGTCCAGCAATCTAATTGTAAGTCGTTCATATGCTAATAATCCAAATATTCTGCTTAAAAACATCTTACACTGCTACCTTCAGCATTCATTATTCTTAGAGTTCAGAACAAACAACAGGGAGGTCATCAGAGTTTCATAACATTTGGGGCTCTGCCCTGAAGACCAGGGGCTGACAGGGGACACACAAATCATAATATTTGTGGTTCTGAGAGAAAATTGGCCTTTTCTAAATTAATTTCTTGCAATTGTACGTCATTTCACGACTGGAGACATTACATTAATACCACACAAATAACCAAAGTGACAAGATACTCTGACATTGACATACTGAGATCAACAATAGGGCGGCAGGTAGCTTAGTGGGTAAGAGCATTGTGCCAGTAACCGAAAGATCGCTAGTTTTAATCCCCAAGCCGACTAGGTGAAAAATCTGTCGATGTGCCCTTAAGCAAGGCACTTAACCCTAATTGCTCCTGTAAGTCGCTCTGGAGGAGGTGGTCTGGAAAATGGCTGACGGAGTTGATCACATCGACATCTACGCCGATGTTGAAGAGGATTTCAACCAGGAATCAGACTACCCTGTCCATGACCAGATAGACTTGTATGACGATGTTATCTCTCCTTCAGCCAATAATGGAGACGCACCTGAGGACTGGGACTACCTGGACAACCTACCCCCACCTGCTGGCTCCGAGGTGAACAAGAGCACCCCTCCCAACGTGGATTACACGTACGCTGGCAAGAGGATCGCCCTGTATAAAGACAATCTCACATGGTGGACAACAGACTAAGATTTGACAGACACCATTGGATCAATAGGCATTAAGGACCTGCTAGAGATCAAGTTCTTTGACAACAGAGCCACCGGCCAGAATAAAGGGTTTGCCTTGGTGTGCGTGGGCTCAGATGCGTCCTCCAGGAAGCTACTGGACCTGCTGTCTAAACGGGAGCTACACGGACAGAACCCCATCGTTATCTCCTGCAACAAACTGTCCCTCAGCCAGTTCGAGATGCAGTCTTGGAAAATCCCAGGTACATCGGCTGGGCAGATGTCTGGCAATGGGAAGGCGGGACCCCCCACCTTGGGCCCCCGCGGTGGCTTCCCCATGGTCCGGGGCCCCGGAGGAGACCGATTCCCTGGGCCCATCGGACCCGGAGGTCCACCGCCACACTTCCCAGGGTCAGGGATGAGACCACCTGAACTCATTAACCATAGACACCAAGAAGGCCACCTGATGGATATGAATTTGAATTGCTTCCCGCCGGGACGTGATGGGAATTGGCGACCCCCTCCTGGCCCCCTAGGTCCCCCCGGCCCTCTAGGCCCCCCTCCCCCAGGACAGGGCCTGCCCCCTCCCATGTAAGGCCCCCCACCCCCAGTCATGTTCTCTGGCCAGTTCGGCCAGCCCCCCCATGGGTCCTCTCCCCCCTGGCCCTCCCCCACACGGCTTCGGCCCTCCTCCGAACTTTGAGTAGATCATGAACCGGAACCGAGCCATTTCCAGCAGCGCTATCTCTAGGGCGGTGTCAGACGCTAGCGCAGCTGACTATGGCAGTGCGATAGAGACTCTGATGACAGAGTCTCTATCGCACTATCGCACCATCTCTCTAATCAAGTAGTCTAAGGTGTCGGCTGATGACTGCTGCAAAGTTCTCATCAGCTCTCTACAGAACTGTCTCCACGGCATCGAGAACAAGTCCTACGGCTCTGCCTCCAGACGCGAGAGGTCGAGGGAGCGAGACCACAGCCGATCCCGGGAGAAGAGCCATCACCACAAGTCCCGTAGCCGCGACCGCCACGAGGACTACTACCGCGAACGCAGCCGGGAGCGAGAACGCGAACGCGAACGCGAAAGAGTACCGGCACCGCCGGAGTACAGGCACCGCTAGAGGAGCCTACGGAAGAGGACAGTACAATAGTTTTTTATTTTTTTGCCATGAGTATGATTTTAAAGAACTCTACTTATAGCCTTACACAGCTGTGAGCGATTCCCATGTAGTCAGTCCCCTGGTAACCATGGAGACAGACAGAGGGGGGGACGCCGCGTCACAACCAGCAGGCCCTACTTCAGGATCGCCTTGTCAACTCGTCCCCCCCTCTGTCTGTGGCACTCACTTATCCAAGGTCCTGGTGACGTCCCTGACAAGCAATGCAACCTGAATTTATCCTCTGTGCTTTGAAAATATATCCTGGTGCATGTAGGCTACACCTACAGACGGGAACGACAAAGTGCAAATAAGTATTTCTGGAAGTGCAGTCACACAACACCAGAGCTGTTGCCAGATAATTTAATGTCAATTTCTCTACCATAAGCCGCCTCCAACGTCATTCCAGAGAATTTGGCAGTATGTAAAACTGGCCTTAAAACCGCAGACCATGTGTAACCACGCCAGCCGAGGATCTCCACATCCGGCTTTTCACCTGTGGGATCGCCTGAGACCAGCCACCCGGACAGCTGATGAAACTGTGGGTTTACACAACTGAAGAATTACTGCACAATCTGTCAGAAACCATCTCAGGGAAGCTCATCTGCGTGCTTGTCGTCCTCACCAGGGTCTTGATCTGACTAAAGTTTGATGTCGTAACTGACTTCAGTGAATCCCGGTTTCAACTGTACCGGCGTCGAATAGGCGAGCGATTTGCTGATTTCAACATTGTGAACAGAGCGCCCCATGGTGGCGGTGGGGTTATGGTATGGGCAGGCATAAGCTACGGACAACGAACACACTTGCATTTTATCGATGGCAATTTGAATGCACAGAGATACCGTGACGAGATCCTGAGGCTCATTGTCGTGCCATTCATCCGCCACCATCACTTCATGTTTCAGCATGATAATGCACGGCCCCATATTGCAAGGACGTGTACACAATTCCTGGAAGCTGAAAATGTCCCAGGTCTTCCATGGCCTGAATACGCACCAGACATGTCACCCATTGAGCATGTTTGGGAAGCTCTGAATGTACAGCGTGTTCCAGTTCCTACCAATGTCTGGTAAACTCGACATATTGTGGTGGATGAAAGAGTAGCGGAGGAAGGAGTTTGTTTCTGTTGCAGTTTTCGTAGTAAAGAATTACATGTTGTAGTGATGCTTTGCCTGTTGGGATACCTACAACAGCGTCTCTCTCAGTCTTTCCACTCTCTCTCCTCTCACTCTCTCTTCCTCTATCCTTCTCTCTCTATTTGTTCCTCTCCCTCCATCCGTCTCTCTCTTTGACTGAATTTCTCCTTCCTTCCATCCCTCTTTCACTCCCTGCTTCTCTTTCTCAGTCTGTTTCTCTCCCTCCATCTCTCACTCTCTCTATCTATCTGTCTGTCTCTCTCACTTCATCTCTCTCTGGCTGTGGATATGAGTCATAGAGCAACAGCAGAAGGGAGTGAATAAAACAAAAGGTAACAGACAAGATGGCGGAAGACAGCACAGTGGTGTTTTGGAAAAATCTTTCCTTCGGCCTTTCCTTGCGGAGATTAGTAATCTAATATGATCAAATTGGTAAAAGAAATACGAAGAAACAGTACTTGCTAACTCCTGTCATACTTTATTTGATTAGTGTTCGCTACATGGGATGAGAGCTCTTTTATACTCAGTGTGTGTGTGTGTGTGTGTGTGTGTGTGTGTGTGTGTGTAATACAAAGAGATCCCCAGTATGCACACTGTGAAGAGTTGTACAGCATCAGCAGAAAGTCTTTGGACCCCAACACCTCCCATTTCCATATCCAATCTCATTCAGTCTTATTGCCGCCTGCTGCACATTTTGCACAGAGGGCTAAACAGAGGCCTTCACAGAGGGCTACAGAAACATCCAAGTACATAGAACTACAGCATAAACACAAGGGTCTTAAAATACATTGACTTCAATGACAGTCAGAGAGAGAGGTAGAGAGAGAGAGAGAGAGAGAGAGAGAGAGAGAGAGAGAGAGAGAGAGAGAGAGAGAGAGAGAGAGAGAGAGAGAGAGAGAGAGAGAGAGAGAGAGAGAGAGAGAGAGAGAGAGAGGTGGAGGTGTTTTCATGTCTTCCAGTTGTAAAAGGCAATCACAACAGACTGTTGATTTTGAAGAGGGTTCAAGAACCAAGAAGTATCACTTCAGAAAATGCAAACGAACACTTATTGTCCTGATTTCCAAAAGCATGACGACAACCAATCCCAATACATTTACTTCCAGAGATCTCCACAACAACTCCTTCCAACTCCCTCCCTCCCTCCCTCCCTCCTTCCAACTCCCTCCCTCCCTCCCTTCCTCCATTTCTATTCCCCCTTTACTTTTTTCTCTCCCTTTCTGCTATTACTCCAAAATAGTAGGAAATAGAATTTAGAAGTCAGGGGTTTGGAATAACTGTGAGCTGTGGGAGTGGAGTTTTTAAACTCCTCATTTATTAAAACGGCAGCGGCTGCTTTCCCCCAGCGAGGCTGAATAATGGCACACATTCTGCCAGATTTAATTTTTGATGGTGAATAAATTATGGATGGCAGAGAATAACTCTGTTAATATATTAGCCATCAGTTTGTCGTAAGTGTTTTATAGTACCGTAGGAATTAACTCATAGCTGCATCCCTCTGTCTATATATCTCCATTGCAAAAGGAATCTAAATCTGATATCAGAGAACTTTGTCTCTTGCGATACATCATCACTCCGCCTTTGTCTCCCTCCTATCACTAGAATCCCCTCTTCTTCTTTTTCTTCAACATTTTTAGGGAGGGAGCTTACAGCACCTGCTATTCCCAGGCAGTCTCCCATCCAAGTACTAACCAGGCCCGACCCTGCTTAGCTACAGAGATCAGACAAGATCAGGTGTTTTTAGGGTGGTATGGTCACAAGTGTATTTTCTTTAACCCCCTTTTCTCCCCGAATTACAACCTTGGCTCATCGCTGCAACTCCCCAATGGGCTTGGGAGAGGGGAAGGTCGAGTCATGCGTCCTACGAAACATGACCTGCCTGGCCGCGCTACTTCTTATCACACTACTCGCTTAACCCAGAAGTCAGCCACACCAATGTGTCGGAGGAAACACCGTTCGACTGACATCAGCTTGCAGGCGTCTGGCCCTGACACAAGAAGTCGCTAGAGCAGAATGAGCCAAGGAAAGCCCCCTAACCAAACCCTCCCCTAACCCAGACAGCGATGGGACAATTGTGCGCCGTCCTATGGGGCTCCCGGTTGCAGCCGGCTGTGACACAGCCAGGCTGTAGTGGGGGTGGGTGCAGTGCAGTGCTTTTGACTGCTGCACCACTTTTATTCTCTCATATGTTTCTATCTCTCTCACCTGCCCACTCTTCTATTCCATCCCTCCTTTCCCTACAGTGCTCAGATTCATAAAAAGATGAGTAGAAAAACCTGGTTCTCCAGGTATAAACCAGACGCTCATTTGAAAGACAGAATCAAAACCAGCAGAGCAGACACTCAGGCCCCTGAGGACCAAAGTCACCCATGCCTGTCGAACACTATGAGCCAAGGGGAAACTACAAATGTATCTGAGGCTTCCTTCCCTCCAGTTGCCTCAAGTCAATTCAAATAACCATTAACCTTGGGACACCTGATGGCGCCTGGCCAATAACGACTTCATTATGATTCTCTGTTAGCTTAACTGCACTCATTAGTTGGTAAATATATGACACCGGTTTGCAGGGGAAACAGCCCCATTTGGCTGAGAACAGACCCAATAATGTGACTGGGGAGAGCACTACTCAGTCAGGGAGACACAACTCAATCACCAGGGCTTTACCGTGTGTCTTTAACATAAAGACAAATAGGGCTTCCGTGCTTTGTATATGACAGATGATGCCGTGCCATGTTTCCTAGCTTAATGATCTAACAGTAGACTAACACAGGAGGCATCACTTCTTTAAAAAGTGGCATCTGGCTGGCCACTGTTTAGTATTACACTGATCTATGAAGAAAGTGGGTTTCTGTGTTGTTTACATTTTCTGAGGGCTTTTGCATGCTGTGTCTATAGGCCTACAGTATTTCTGTACTTGTATGTATATAATGTGGGTCATTCAATGCCCTTATATTAAATGTATCCTTTGACTTTTTATTAATGTAGCAGTGCAACACTAATATCCTAATTCAGGATAATAGACTAGTGTTATCTATTAAAAGGGGTCTTGGTTTAAATAGTCCCTCCTCCTCCTCCTCCTCCTCTGTCTCTTCCAGCCAGCCCACTTTGGCCTTTTGATTAAACTTCTCTGTTTTCCATAAATCACTTCTCAAGTCTAATTAATTTCCTTATTATTTGCTGTTCAGGGTAGACGTGTGTCAGACACATTACTAATCAAGGGTCCTTTGGGAAGGCTGATGGTTCTATGTGGAACCACAGTGACCCAAATAACCCTTTGAGCCCTTCAATGGATCTTTGCAGTTCAAAAAAGGGGGAGGTGGCTAAGTCAAATATTTTGGGGCGTGGTTTGCACTCAGCTCTTTTTGTGCAACCGTGAGTGAGAGTGTCATTCCTGTTTATTTAATATGTTGTGATAGGTTTTGTTAAAATCTCCCATATGGGCTAATTTCAATTGAGAACAGTTCGTTCTCGCATTGAAATGCGCTCGTCAGGAACCCCCAGCTGATACAGAGCTAGCATTCGGGAAGTATTCAGCACCCTTGACCTTTTCTACATTTTGTTATGTTACAGTTTTATTCTAAAATAGATTAAATAAATGAAAATCCTCATCAATTGACAAACAATACCCCATAATGACAACGAAAAAACTGTTTTTTAGAAATGTTTGCTAATATATTAGGAAACAGAAATACCTTATTTACATAAGTATTCAGACCCTTTTCTATGAGACTTGAAATTGAGCTCAGGTGCATCCTGTTTCCATTGATCATCCTTCAGATGTTTCTACAACTTGATTGGAGTCCACCTGTGGTACATTTAATTGATTGGACA